TCAGGGCGAGTTACTCCCCTGAGTCCCGCGTATGCGTGGCCTGCAAGCACTCCAGACTACACGGCATGGCTTGAAACGGCGAAGACTACGTCAGATTTCCTGACTCAACAAACGATGCTCGGAAGTCAAGACGCCATGTGGATCGCGGACCTGAACGCCACGCGTCTGGGTTCCGGAACGGCTCACGATCTCCTGGGTGTCCAGGTTCCGACTGCCTTCTGCGAAGCCCGCCAATGCGCGGCGCTGCTCCAGGCGTTGTTGTTCGAGGCTGGGTTCCTGTTCGACAACGTGATTCCGGAGTGGTTCCGAACCAGAGCCTCCAAGATCTCGGCTGATCAAGTTCGACTGGACTCTGAAGTCATTCAATGTCATCTGTCAATAGAATTCATTGAATGGAATAAGCTCACGGATGGAATTCACTACGAGGTTCGAGCAGTCTCGGGAACAGTAGACGTCGGAGAGCCTGAGGACGTGTTGATGACGGATACAGAAGCTGGCCTTTTCGGTGTTAGCTTCCTCAATTAGCATCGATCCATAGTCTGGACAGCTAGAAGCTTTCAGGGATCGTCAGATGGAGAACGGTTGAAGCAGCAGCAGAACGCTCCGCCGAGACCACCGTCAAGCATTCAAACATTGCTGTCGAGTGCTTTCACACTACCAACTCCATCCGAGTCAGGCTCCAGCTCAGCTCAAGCCGTTCAAGGGCTCAAGATCGAGAATGCTAGATCCAGCGGCATATCAGGTATCGTAGGACCATCAGGTTCCTCTCAAGGGTACTCTGTCCACAGTTCGTCTGGAATCGGCACGTTCCATGAGAGCTCTGCATCTTCAATGATGTTTATCCCGGAAGGAGGAGCAACGCATCCTGGACAAGCAGTTGTTATGCATATCAAATCGACTGGTGTGCAGAATGCTGAAGGTAGCGGAGGCGGAACCCTGAGTCGGACGTTAATTCCCGCTCAGCGGCCTGAGCCCCGTCAGGAGGACGTCATCATGGACGAGTCGAGTGACTATGCAGATTCAGAAGTTACTCCTCGCTTGAAGTCAGAGCCCAGGCACCATCGACGGCATCGGCGTCATGAGAGCCAGGGCCACGGACGCGAAATGAGTGTCTCTGAGTACACATAGTCACAAGGCGGTAGTCGGACAGGCTACTCGAAGAGTAGCCAGAGATCAAGTCACTCAGAGAGATCAAGTCACGTTGGAACCTCTCGACGGTCTGGGGCGTCCTCTGCGTCCGCAGGTGCAGCTCAAGTAGTCATCAACATGATACTACAACAGCAGGCAGGAATGGCCGAGTTGCGTAACCAACGGGAAGCGTTCCACGAGAGACAGCAGCGGTTGCAGCTGGAATCGGCCATGCAAGTGCAGACGCATGGCAGCAGCAGCAAGATCAGCTTCAGATGCAGCAATTGCGGAATGAACAGCAGATCGAGCGACGCCTAGAGCGACAACAGCATGGTCTCTCAGAGAATATCCAAGCGTTAGCTGATAGACTCGCCCAGCTGGAAACCTTGAAACCTCAGACGCCTGAGTACGAACGCGGAGTGAAGTATGGCTCACCGTTCTTGATGCCCCAACACTCTCAAGCTCACAGATCTCCAAGTCCGTAGTTAGAGACCCTGATCTCGAAAGTTCACTTTGAAGAATCACTCGAGCACGAGAAACGGGGCATGCAACGTGAGTTAGACGACAGGCTTGCTCAAGAGGCCCGGAGTGCTGACATGGGACAGAATAACTGGCTGACGAACCCTCAAAATGCTCTGGAGGAACGCGAGCGGATGCTCAACTCCCAGTGGTCCAACTTCGAACAGCAACTCAAGATGCGCGAAGAAGAATGGAAGCTTGAGAGGGACGCAATGGCGACCGGTATGCAAAACCAAATGTTAACGGTACTTCAAGCCGCCCTGTCCCAGATTGCCCCTCATCCAGCAACTGGTATACAGTGAGAGTCCCTGAGCTCCCCCTGATTCAGCAACTCTGAATCCAGTGCGAGCGGTTGCGGCCAGGAATAGCCAGATGTCCATTGTAGGTGCGTCACCGACAGTGATAGCCGCCCAATAGAGTGTTGCGGCGGACCAAAAACGAGAGATCAAGCGTGAGACACCTTCAGGCAAGAGCGCCACTCGCCGAGAGTCGTCGAATGCGTCGCAGACTAGGTCAGCCATGAAGCAAACGGAGTCGCAAGTCGCGAGGAAGACTGGTGCGCGAAAGGAGGTGTCTGCATCATCGTTGTCGAAGAGGTCATACCCGAAGAAGGCGGAAGTGCCGTCTGACCCTCCTCCTGACGACCCAGATGACTCGAAGCCTAGCGACAGTGACAATAATACGAGTCGAGAAGTAAGTTCCGACTCCAGTGACGCTGAAGGCTTTTCAAGTGAAGATGAAGACGTCGGGATGACTACGACGACGACCACAGCTGATGAACAACGATTTGGAACTGTAGACCTGACGTTGGCTACACTAACCTGGAGAAATTCGACGAAAAGGCTTCGAAGGATAATCGAGTCAACTGGTGGGAGCGATTCTCGGATATGGCATCGCAGGGATCCTGGTCAGACGCGATGAAGATTCGTCAGTTCAGGAGCCGTATGCCCACAGCGATCAGGGACTGGTTCTCACAGCTACCCAAATCTACACGTTACGACTGGAAACGAATGTCGCGCGGATTCAGGAAGCTATATATCGGTACCACAGACTCGTACTCTGAAAGGTACTTCATGATGAAGATGACCGACCACGAGACCCATTGCAGTTCTTCTATCGTTTGAATGCGGCTGCAGTCAAGGCTGAAGTAAAGTTCAAGTCTAGCCCTAAGCTACGTGAGTCTCACATTCGGAGATTCATCAAGAAGCTCCGGAACGATCAGCTGACGACAGCTCTCGAAGGTCACAGGTTTCAGAGCATCGCGGACTTGGAACGAGCGTTACGTCGCCACGAGGATATGTGGCGTGACGAAGGATATGACTCTCGAGCCATTAAGAAGTCCAGAGACTTCAGTGCCGACAACGTCCACCAAGGCCGACCTCAGAATCGTGGACCGACTAGACGTCAGGGACATGCTTTTATGACTCAAGGCGATGCCGAACGCATGCAGGACTCAGAGTTCCAACCCGAGTCTCAGATTCCTGAAGTGTTTGCAGAGCAAGCAGAAGCATACTCGAAGCCGATCTCAGAGTTTCCCAATAATGGAATTGATGGAGAAATTTTCCGAGTCGCAGAGAACCAACACTGGTAGTCACCCAACCCACACCCGGGTGAGGGTTCAGCACGACCAGAGAATTGGGACGTTTTCTGCGAGAAGTGTAGGAAGTGGGGACACCCTGAGGCCAACTGTTGGATTGGAATGCTATGTGAACGATGCCAACGCAAGGACCACCCGGCCAGGGTCTGTACCAGAAACCCTTGTGCCGAATGTGGAGATTTTCACCGTGGAATATCGTGTGAACAGTGGAGAGCTTTACAGTCTATGATGACACTGGCGAAGCAAGGAAATGCAAGTGAATTACCCACTCAATTTCGAAGTCTCCTTCAGACCAAGGATCACGCTTCAGGGGTGCAGTAGTTAAACCAATAAGCCCGCCGGATGGGGATCCGGTACGCGACGGGCCTAAGACCCCCCCTGAAATGTGTGTCTTAGTCTGTATAGGACCAGAATGAAGGACGCAACTACAAGACAACCAACAATGCATGAATTTAGTTCAAGATGAAATCATCTAACCTGAACAATTGTACTCAGAGTACCAGCGTTCAGATGGTTCCAGAGATCTCTGAGTTCCAATCTCAGGAACCCTTGGAAGTGCCGTTGAAACCGGGTCAACGGTACGGATGGTGGGAAGATCACGAACATGGAGACATGCATGGATTGGCTACGATACATGGAGCTGTGAACGACTCCAGAACCAGAATCTTAGTGGACACTGGTGCGTCCGTGAGCATTATGAGTCTTGATCTAGCGTGTAGACTCAAACTCATACTCCAGACACATCGTCAAATCAAAGTCTCTGGCTTAGGAGGAGTGACCACTTTACATTACTACTCATGCCCGAGTAAAGATAACGCTCGGATCGCGTGTGGTGTACGTCCTGAACATCTGGGTTGGAAATATTGGAGAAGGTGTTGATGTTCTGCAAGGCATGAACTTTAGACATTCAGCAGGTGTTCTACTCTGCATACGAGAAGGTTTGGTCAAGCTGCCAGACGAAGAAACTGTGGCTACGTATGATAACGATCCCAAGTCCCGTGGTATGGATCTCCCTGTGTGCTCAGAGGAAAGCATACATCTGCGTCCCGGTCAGGATGCTATTGTACGAATCCGGTATGGCCAGTCCAATCCCCAACGTGAGTTGGTGTGGGCTGGGAGAGAAAAACTGGGTGGCCAAAGTCCTGTACTCTGCTAGGTCCTGGGCGACCGCTGTCAAGGTTGTCAATGTTTCAGACCAGAACGTTTGGATTCATACTAGGACGGCTGATGTACGTATTGTGGAGTATGGACAGTTCCCAAGACAGCCTGGATTCGTTCGTCCTGGTAAAGCGCGGTATGAGGAATGGCAACAATTGATCCATGAGTGTACCGTGTCATGCCAAACAAGGATGCGTGCTGAACGGCTGGAGCTGATTCTCAGGGAAAGGGGGCCTCCGTGCACCCAGACTCAGAGATATCAGTGGCCTACTAAGCTATTAATGCGTCCACAGTCCTAAGCCGCTGAAGTGAAGATGGTGAAGTTGCAAGAAAGACCGAAACCAGTGGATATGACGCTCAATATCATCGGTAATTCAGCGGTCGTGATGATCAAAGTCGTGAGAAACCCCGAGGAACCTGAGACCCACCCTGAACCGGTAGAACAGACCCATCCTGACTTGAGGCCAGAGGTTGAGACCCTGAATCCAGAAAGTATGGTGGATGTCAAGAGTAATGCTCAGGTCCGTCAGTGGATGCCCACTCACAGACGAGTTGTTCGACACCGGTCCAGAGGCTGGAAGCAGAATATGCTCGGGTAATGCGAGTCTCTTCCGAAGGACTGGATCTGGAACCTGCCGTATATCTCAGAGAAGGAAGTGATTTGATGACGCAGTTACGAGACCAACTTATCATGCTTCCGGAAATTGAGGAACTGATCCCAGAGTGTGACATCGACGAAGCAAATGCCGGGGTCCCGGGGGTCACAACTCCAGAGATAGAAGCTAAGATGAGAGGGATACTGAAACGCCATCGCAACATCTTCCTGGGAGACGGTAATGCAGCTCCGGCTCCGGCAAGAGGCGTAGTGTGCGACATCAACGTCGGTGAAGCAAAACCAGTGTCTTTACGTGCGAGGCAGATTGCCACACCTTTCATGGTGAAGGTGTTTGAGATCTTGAAGAAGTTGGTAGAGGCAGAGCTCATCGAGCATTCAGAATCCGAGTGGTCGTCACCTATTGTGATCGTGCTGAAGAAAAACGGCATAGGTATCAGAATGTGTATTGACTACCGACTTCTGAATTTGTTCATCAAGCTATCCCGCTATCCCCTATATTTGATTGATGACCTGCTGGTAGACTTCAAATCTGCGATGTGGTTTATGTGTCTCGACATGGCGAGTGGATTCTGGGCGGTGCGAATGACGGACGTGCGAAGCTGATCTCTGCGTTCGTCTGCCCGTTCGGCCACTTTCAATGGCTCAGAATGCCTCTTGGATATAATAATGCACTGTTAAATTATCAGAGCATCATCAACAACTTTCTGTGGGGATTCGTTCGTCTACCTCCTGAAGAAGAAGCGATGGTGGACCCAGCAGTTCTGGAGTTTCTGAATCTCGAGCCTCAAGAAGCTCTGAAACCCGAAGTGGATATGCGGAACTCAGAGATTCCTTCATTGGACCTGACTGTATTCTGACGCAATATTCCGGCTCCGTCACAAATGGGTCCGGCCTTGAGAAGAAGTTCGTATATTGACGATATCGCTCATGGGGCGTCGACCTGGGACCAACTATGTGAGGACTTGGACGCGTTGTTGTACAGACTACGATACTGGAATATCTCTGTGAGCTTACGCAAAAGTGAAGTCGGAAAGTTGACCGTCCCAATTCCTTTCTCATGAAGTGAGTGCGGACGGAATCAGGTCCTTGTCGAAGATTGTCAAAGGCATAGAATACTTGTCTTTCCCGTCAACGTACAAGGGAGTACAGTCCTTCTTAGGAAGTCTGAACTACTACAATAAGTTTATTGAAGACTTACCAGTAGTTGCAGCTGTACTCTACGAATTAGACGAAGAACCTGTACGTGCTGGACGGAACCTGGATGTCGCAAGGGAGTCTTTCGAGATACTGAAACGTAAGATCGTGTCTACTCCGTTGCTACGACATCTAGACAGAGCCAAGCCTTTTGTGATCATTCCGCATGTTAACCCGTGGACGGCGTGTGCAGTTTTGGATCAGGAGTATGAGGTTCTCATACATACATTACGATTCACTGGCAGGGTGTTGAAGGAATCAGAGCTACGCTACCACATAGCTGAGAAGGAAGTGCTCGCAATCTTGCGGACTCTTGAACTTTTCAGACCTCTTATCCATGGATTAGAATTCTCAGTTGTGGTGTACACGCGCTACTCTGTACTAAAGTGGCAACTACAATCCAACACTGCAGATGGACGACATCTGAAGTGGGGCTGGAACTATCAAGATGGACACTTGAAATCCACTGGACTCAGAAAGATGAGGACGGCCTCGCAGCCATCTTTGGGTCTGGTATTACTCCCAGGTAACATCTAGATAAGGTTGCAGAAACGCTGATTCCTGCTCAGGGGCGTCTGAAAGTGATGCCACCAGTGAGTCTGGAAATGTTGGACGCACACTGCCAAGGTTACGTTCTGAGTTTTGATGGCGTGGCGAAGGGGTCTACTCACCGAGGAAGTTGTGGATGTATACTGTGGAAGCTACCTGGGTGGCAGGTTGTGAAAGCGAAAGGACACATCCTCGAAGGTGTAACAGTCAATGATGCTGAATACCATGGGTTGATGCTGGGATGAAAGCTAGCCTTGAAGTACGATGTCAAGGAGCTTGTGGCAGCCGGAGATTCCCGGGTTGTCGTCCAACAGGCTAAGGGTCTGATCAATTGCAACCAGCCCAACCTAGCTAAATATGAAGATCTGAGGAAGGATTTTGTGTCAGTTAAATTGATCCATGTTAAACGTGAGTTTAACCAAGCGGCTGACTACATGACTTCTAAGCCTCTCGTGCTCGGAGAATCCTGGGAACTCAATGACCCCGATGAGATAGTACATCTACGTCTCGTATCCAGAATCCCAGAAAAGATCATGAAGCCTACAGAAATCCCAATTTCCCCTGCGACTGACACAGTTTGTTCAGACCAAGTCAAGCTCGGAGTGAATAGTCCAGATGACGGGATACCAGAGTCCTTAGTTACCGCGGCTGAAGCATTGATGGTGATGACGAGGTCACGTGCGGAAGCAGACGCAAGTTCTCGGACTCGTATAGACCAGGCTGGATACCAGGATGAACGTTGGAGGATAATCAAGGTTCACCAAGACGAAGACTTGTGGATCCAGCAAATGAAGAAGGTTCTAAGGGGAGACGTGTTAAACCTTCCACGGAACCAGGCGAAGAAGGTTGCGAAGGTTTTCGATCAGTTTGTGTTGGATTCGCGAGACGTCCTCTACAGACTGAGCACACCCACCCCTAATAGAGACCTCGCAATAAACAGTCGTGGCTGGTGGTCCCAGAGACTTTATGTGCTGATATGCTACACTACTCGCACGAAGATTTTGAAGGCGGTCATCAAGGAATCAACAGGACGTTTGAGCGATTACGTTCAGAGTTCTACTGGATCGGGTTGTACGCTGATGTACAGAAGTTCGTGAGAGAGTGCGTAGATTGTGCGTCAGCCAAGGGGCGACCACCGGTTAACGGACCATCACCGGGCAATATCGAACCAAGATATCCGTTCGAGGTGGTCTCTATGGATTTCGTCACTGAGCTACCTGAGTACGATCGTGCAAATACTTATTTGTTGTTGTTCCAAGATCAATTCTCAGGATATGTCATGCGTAAACCCATGCGGAATACTGAAGCCCAAGATGTCGCCGAGGCATACGAAGCGTGCGTATTCAGAAGATTTGGGGCGAGTTCAATGATCAGATCCCCGTTTCATGAGCAAGGTCTTCGCTAGATTCAGAGACCTTCTGAAAAGTAAGCAACGTGCGACGTTAGGATACCGACCTCAGGCCAACGGACAGCAAGAACGCTCAGTCCAAGCGGTAATGCGAAGTGTCAGAGCGTATTTCGCCGAAGTGGACCAGACTGACTGGGACGAGCATGCAGACCGTCTCATGTTCGCCCTGAATACCTCGTTTGATGTTGCAAGGTTGGACACTCCGTTCTACCTGGTCCATGGTTAGGACGCCCAGGGAACCAACTCTGCGATGCTGGGTCCGAAGCCATCCACAGTCCAAGAACGAAAAGTCTTGGAATGGCGTCGGAAGGTGCAACGGACTATAGTTATGCTCTCGCATGCGCTGAAGACTTGCAAGAGAAGGCAAAGCGTGTGAGATCTGCTGCACAGACTCGTAAATAGAGAGAACTCTCAGATCGCGTAAAGGCAGGTTTCGAAGCCGGTGATTCTGTATGGTTGTACATTCCCAAAGTCCACACCGGATTGAGCCGCTAGTTGGTTCACCTGTGGCACGGACCCTTCCGAATCGATGAAAGTCATGATGACTTCAAGGTCAAGCTCAAGGTCCCCGGCACGGGTTACCGTGTGAATCCGTTGGTCCCCATGAGCCGCCTCAAACCGAGAGCGTTGTTCCCTAAGCGAGATACAAGTCTCAGAAGACGATGATTTTGACGCAGCTTTGTTACCCAAGGATAGTTGGGAGCCCGTCACTGCTCAGGGTGAGTATAAAGTCGAAGAGATCCTGGATCTCAAGTGGATTAAACGGACAAGGACCTCCAAGCGTTCTCGAGAATATCTGATCAAGTAGAAAGGATTCATAGACCCAGAGTGGATACCTCTTGCCCAACTTAATTGTGGGGCCTTGTTATACGAGTTCGATCAGGGCGCTAAGGCGAGAGCACGTTTCCAAGCTATGCAAGCTGGGGACGACCACCCTGGGAACTAGGGCCAAAAGCGATGTCCGGCCCAAGGAACTTGTGTGTGAGAACGTGATGGTATTGATTTTGAGAGCTATGAGCGGTCGTTTCCTGGATCCAGTGGGAATCTCAGAGAACAGCCATTGTAGGAGTGAGTATCATGACAGAGATCATCCTTAAATTGGTGAAGAAGTCAAGATACAAGGACGAAAAGTGGAAAAACGATTGGTATTAACGAGTTACTGTCTGAGACTGAGAGAAAGTAGAGCAACTCCGACATCCAGAGTACGTGGAGAGTAACAGCCGACGAAAGGAGTTCACGCTTGAGACGCCGTAGATAATAGAATCACGTTCCGGGCCCGGCGCTCAGACTGCATGAGAAGTGGGTGCTTGAATGTAGGCCAGAATGTCACTCTCGCTGTGCGCCGCCGGCCATTGAGTTCGGACGGGATCCTCCGCGTTCAAGTCGTCAAGATGAGCAGCGTAGTAAGCGACTCGACTGCGGATAAGAGGCGAACGCTCAGGATCGTTGAGAATCCAGTGGCACGCACATACAGGAAGCGTCCACAGACCAGGCTCGTAAAGCAACGTCTTTGGAAATGCAGGTATCGCAAATGACCGCTTCAGTAGGGCCTCGTACTGTGCCCGAAGCCGCTTGACATCTCTGCGACGTTCCCCATACAAGTCACGAGAAGCATCTGCGTCGGTAGGGTCTCGACCCAAGAAGGAGATGGTTAGCCAGTAGAGAATTGCCTGCCAAGGCTTGGCGTTGACACGCATGAAGTCCCCATAATCCTTGACTTTGTCGAGGGTCTCAAGTTCAAGTCACGCACTTCGTGAAAATAGAACACGGTGACGCGATAATAGAACATCACAGACCAGGGAGCTCTGATGAACTCGCCATCTTCATCTCAAGCGGGACGACCGTTGGCGCGTTCAGGAACGTAGACCAGAGCTTGGTATGCCTCCAGATCGCAGCGCGCCTTCATAATGTGGATGTCAGGCTTGTGTGGTTCGAAGTCAGGATATCCTGAGACTGTCGATAGGAGTCAAACTTCACCAGAATCCCGAAGATGCGATAAGAGACGTGAGTCTCCCGACGCACAGCCTCCACCATGTCTAGGTGCTCGCCGTGAAGGTCGTCATAATTCAACTTGGCCAACTTGGACAGGATGCGCCGAGGGCCCTCGGATGGGACTACCACCCTAGCCCGACGGAGGAATGTGGTCAGGGAAGGAACCGGTATCTTGCGCTCGCGAAGTGCGCCGCCAGATTTCGGAGCGCTGTGGGATTGGTTCTGTTGGTGCCGCGATATTCGAATCTCGCGGATGTACCATGGCTCTTAGAGCCACTGCTCTTGTCGCCTGTCTTCTGAGTCTTGGACTCCCGAGGATCGGTGGCACTCAGGTGCGCGGCCGCGGGCTTGGACTCCGTCTCAGCTTCGTCGGACTCCTCACTCGACTCGTCATTGTCGACAGCAGCCTCGGCCCGCGCAGCCTTGCCCAGTTCCGCCTGTGATAGCTCGTAGGATGGATCCTGAGCCTCATCATCCGACGACTCAGGGAACTTGACCTGTAGAGCCTCGGTCTCTTGTGACGACTTCTTGCGTTTCTGGTCCTTGATGAAGCACCGACCCAGAGGATGCCAAGGGGGGTGGGCTGTCGCTTGGCCTGGCGTCGACATAAGGTCCCCTCTGTGCTGGTATAGCACCCCTCATGGACGAAACGACACCAGGGAGTCTCATCCAGCTGAACCGCATGAATCACTTGGACCAACATACGACAGACAGCGTCTCGAGGCGCAAGGTGATGGATACCCTGACTTTCGGAGACCCACTTCATGGCGCACTTGAAGTCCATCCCGCACAACAGGAGATACTGGACGTCCTCGCGGACGTTGGTCCAGATCATCCCATCTGGGAGGGCAAGACCAGACTCCGCCAGATTCCGGGCGTTGGGGACGTTCCGGGGTGAGTACACCAACATATCCCTAGGCGAATAGCCCCGAGGACGGAGTTGGCAGTCACGTTGGTGCCTCGAGTCTTGAGCCGGACTCAGGGACGGACGCTTGACCATAGGCGCATCTCACGCTGCAGATGCCTCCGCTTCCGGTTCCCAGTTCGCGACCCAAAAGTCGACGCCCTCTTGTTGCATGCAGGCGGCGACAGGTCGAGAACTCTGGGACGTCTCGAACTCGAAGGGCCTGAAGACGAGTCACCATTGCCGGGTCTTGGGGAAAGGTTCGCGTACTCAGGACACTCACAATGCCGGTCGTCCAGAGCGACCACGTCAATGTGCGTGAGCCAGCCCTCTGGGATCGAAGTGCCCTCAGCGAAGGGATGAAGGAGCGCCGCGAGGCACATCCAGTTAAACATCACGTTGATCTTCAGCTTGTTCACCATCAGAAAGTCGACGAGAGCATTCACGTCCAAAACACGCTCATCAGTGCGCCTCTGCACTGCCTGGCGAGCAGCCTCATAGTCTCGAAGCTGGGCTTGGAGTTGAGCGACTTGATCCGTCAGCTTAGTGGCACGCGCTTGATGGTGGGACTCAGCGTCGCGACGACCTCGGCGCAGGAAATCTTCGCCATCGATTCGAACTTGCTTGAGGTTTCGTACGCGCTGACGCCAGTGTCGACACATAGCAGTCCATTCATGACGCATGGCGTCAAACTTCTCGCGGGACACCAAGGTCTCACACGACAGTGTGCCGCTATCCTCGGCAGTTGAGGCCGCCTGGAGATGTCGAATCTTGGTAAACAGCCGGCGGATGAAGGATAAGGAGTTGATCAACCTCTCCGCCAGGGGATCCAGTGGGAAGTGATCCAACAACACAGCCAATTCGAGCTGACTCGCGATGGAACTCACCTCCGCAGCTAGCGAGGAAGGTGCAATGCGCGGGGGCAATGACGGCTAACAGTCGGCGACGTTTCCACTTATGAGCCTATCGAGGTTTTGGGGATCCGTGGCGACCAAACTCTCGAAACATAGCAGTACCGCCAGGCCATCATGCCGGGGTACCCCTTGGCGCCACTTCCTAGTGCGGCGACCGACGCAGGTACGCCAACCAGATGAACATCAGGGTCGTCGTAGGCAGACGGGGTATCCCAACTAACTGGAGCCAAAGCCATGCCCGTGTCTGCGAGTGTCGGAACCCCGGAGATCACGCCAGCTAGCGACATCTCCTCCACCTCTGCAGGGGTCAGGAAGTTGGCTGGAGGAAGCGCCTCGGAAGATATATCCGCAGGTGTCGTGGCAGACGGCACTACAGCGCCCGCGTCCGCCGTGTCAGTGTGGGTAGACGGCGTGGTGTTGGGCGCAGGATCAACCCCTTGATCAGGGACGACCGCAGCCTCAAGCGTCGGTACCGCAGGAGCAGGAGTAGCCTCAGATGTCAGTGCCGGAGAAGACGAGTCGGGGACGAGAGCACCTTGGGCCATGTTGCAGAGGAAAGCGATGCGACCTGTGTCGGACGAAGGAAATCTTTGAATGACAACGTTCTCTGGAGAAAGTTCGAACCGTTGATGGACTGATGGGTGTCGACAGTTACCGGTATATTGGTACTCAGGACTTCGATTCGATAATGAATTGATGGATTCACTTGGAAATGAATTGGTGACCGGATTCTGGAGAGCCTGAATAGGTCTCAGAAAATGAGTGAATCTGGATCTCAGAGATGATCCGGACTCAGGATGAAAATGGAAATGTGTCTTCGTGATCCTAGACATGACTTGTCAACTTGAATGAAAATTCTGCAATGACCAGCCATGGCTAGGAGGGGCGGTTGAAACGAAGTGATTTGGACTTTCTCAGGGAAACGGGAGTTTGTATGGAATTAGGTAATGGATACAGGATTGTCGAGTGTGAATGTGTGGAAAGAAAAGTGACTATGGAACGTGTGAGAAGCGATTGACCTGGACAAGTGCTAAGGATAGGCCTAAGAGTCTGGAAGCACTATGATGCTCAGCCATACTCGCCCTCGTCCTGACTACGGGTACCTATGATTGTGAAAAGTGTTGATGCAAATGTATTGTATCGAACACCCCGTATTGCCTTAGTTCAACTCAGAAAACGTCAGTCCCAAGCTCAAGAACGTTACCAATAAGGACTATTTGCGCACAAGACTCACGATCTAAGAGGATGTGGACAACAGATGGAGTAGTGACACATTCTACAAGCAGTGGAGAACATTATATTCCAGAGCCCGACCGAATATCTCAGAGTCTCGTGCCTAATTCCCTGAATTCCGACCGATAACCCCTGAATCCCGAAGGAAATTTCTGGGTCCAGACGCCAAAGTGTCAATAGTCAAGAATATCGACGTTTATATGAAGCCATTACGATACGGATTCAAAGATTCTACGAGGAAATCAGACCGTATCAAAAGATTCAAGTCTATTACGATGGATTACATATCACGATACGTTGTGGAACCCCTTCTGAAGTCAGAGAGACCTGAGCCAAAGTGTAACGCGATCAAGTGGTGACATGTCAGTGTGAAGTGAGGT